GACGAACTCACCATTGAGGCGCTTCAAATTCAGTTATCAATGGATGTGGCAAGTATTTCGGCTGTTTCACTATCCGTTTCTTCATTTGCCTGGTGGTTTTTCCCGAACTATTTGGTTGAAAAGTAATTACACGGAGGGCAATTTTTAAACGTACCCCTTCTGGGAAAGGACAATTCTCATTGTATTGAAAACAACTCGCTTAGCTTTTAATGTATTGTATTGTAATAACCGCTGTATGTACGAAGCGTACATTCCAGTTAAAAATATTCAAGTTGGAGCGAGGGAGAAAGCTAAAACATAATAATGAAATAAAAGGAGATTTAAATCCCAAACTTGTTCTTTGTAAACTTAGAAACTTCCTAATGAGGGTACTGTAGAGTTACCATATATGTTTGTTCGACAGGGAACATAAAGATATTGGGGTCTAGTTGAAGGATGGGAACAACAGGAAGTTAGAACTGCTTGTCGTGGATGTGTGGAGTTGATAAAAATCTTATGTGCAAATTTTTCACATGCATTCAAATGGCGTTCGCATAGGTCAGTTATCAACTCCTTCAGCGGGGATTGAAGAGACACGGCTAATGATGGTCAGCCACGTTGAAGCAGTGTGAACTCTTTCTTTATGGGATTGGAAAAGATAACAGGTGAACAATAAAGTAAAACGAGGAAAACACACTGGTATACATACGAATTTGGGAATAATCGCTTGTTGAATACGAAACTGACGAGGTTTACGGATATGAGAAGAAAGTCGTGGGAGATTACTGCCGATAAGTTGAATGTATTTAACACAGCTTGCCCGGGATACTGGTTCAGAGCCAGTCGATACGGGTTCAAATGGGAATGAAGAGCGTGATAATGTAAGGAAACATTCGAAACATTTGGAGGGATTAAGAGATAAGCCAGATATGGCGGAAAACTGTTGAACGTTATCCAAATTGTCAGAAAATTGTGAAAGACCAGAAGAATTGGAAGTGGCCTACATAAAACCACATCGTCAACGTATTTAAACAGAGTAGTAGGGGTGTTGGCAGACAAGTCACTAATATACGTAGCAAATAAGTATGGGGAAAGAACAGCATCTTGAAGTTTCCCAGAATTGTTCAGCAATGGTTTGGATTTATTCCGACCTAACCTGGTACACTGAGTTCTCCCGGAGAAGTAATCGGCAAGCCAAGCCAACAACTGTCTAGGACAACCAAAGATCTCCAGTTTACGAAGAAGAAGGGAAGAGGAATAGAATCAAAAGCAGATGAGTAGTCCAGAAACACACAACGAACAGATTTCGCAGAGTCATTAAAGGATTTGGTGATTTTATATAAAATTGAGGAAAGTGCATCTAGCATGCCTCTGTTTGGTTTATGGGCAAACTGAAGAGGATCATAGGGGACATCAAGTGAGGGCTGAATGCTTGTAAGAAAAACACGTTCTGATAGTTTAAGTCCAACAGAAGGTAAAGCTATAGGACGACGGCGTTTGGTTAGAACATTTGAAGTAGAGGATTTGGGAATGGGAACAATTGGTAATGGTTTCCAACAGTCTGGTATGGAGCAGGTTTTGAGGGTATTGTTCAAAAATGGCATGATTTTTTCACTGAGGGAATAAATCGGGGATGTAACAAATATTCTAGAACATTCTCTTGTGACGCTACGGTGAAATGACTGCTGCTTTTTCATCTTCCTGTCTTTCGAATTTTGGTGCAATTTGCCGGCCAAGTCAGATTCCGAAAGGTGCATTTTAATAATTTATCTCCGATTCTCGGTGGTTCACCAGGATATGCATGCTTGACAGCAAGTAGGCTTTAGACTCAATCGAGGAAGCTGAGAGGACAGTCGTCGCTTTGTATCAGCCCGTTCACTGTGCTACATCAAAATGAGCTCTGCGTTTCAAGGCAACAGGCTATGAGACAGAGCAAAGCACTTTCGACTGCCAGGACAGATAACGAGCCTCTCGAGTGTATAGATACAGGGATATGTCTAATTCCTCACTATTGGCTTGCCCAATTCTCGTCGTTCGGTGGAAAAATCAAATGGGGTCACTCTGCATATTCTAATCAGCGTGCACTGAACCGGGAGTCGTCATGTAGACGAACTGTGCCAGTACCTCTGTCGAAATGGTGTCTTTTGTTTGTCAAGAAACATCCCAGTGGTGAGGGAGAAATAGTTTGGGGCTGTTTTCCTCATCGCTCAACTATATAATGTAAAACGCTCTGAATATTCCTCATAGGTAAAATTCCTCACATAAAAATTTCTTTGATTCACATAGGTTTTCATCAGCTACGAGGTAATTTCTGACCGCTGATTCTAAATATACACACTTGACACAATACACCACTCAGGATAATTGAACTCATTTTGATAAACAACACTAGAATAAATATACGGATGGCATGACCAAATTAATGACATTATAACAAGAGGTAAGTAGTAATAGGTTTAAACAATTGGTTCGATTAGAATACTTTCAATTAAAATCAATGGAAAATTACGTAATACAAC